TTAAGAGCCAAAGGGAAAGTCCTGTAAGGACTGATACCTTCCCCAGGCTGGACTACACGCCCTTCCTTGTGGCCACCATATTGTATTCATGTTATCTGTTTACAGCCCACTTGGCAAAGAGCTCTCCAAGGGCAGGGGTTGTGTATCTATGGGGCCTCACAGCCTAGCCAAAGACCCTCCACATAGTTTGTTGTTAGTTACTGTCAAGTTGGTTCCAACTCATGGCCATCCCATGTACAACAAAACAAAATGTTGCCGGGTCCTGTGCCATCTTCATAATCATTGACATGCTTGAGGCCACTGCTGCAGCCACTGTGTATTTTGAATGCCTTCCAACCTAGGGGGCTCATCTTCCAGCACTATATCAGACAATATTCTGTTGTGACCCACAGGGTTTTCACTGGCTAATTTGGGTTTTCGTTGGCTGATTTTCAGAAGTAGATCACCAGGCCTTTCTTCCTAGTCTGTCTTAGTCTGGAAACGCCACTGAAACCTGTCCACTATGGGTGACCCTGTTGGTATTTGAAATACTGGTGGCATAGCTTCCACATCACAACAACATGCAAGCTACCACAGACTGACAAACTGACAGATGATTGGTGGTTCCACATAGTAGGCCCTCAATAAACACTGCCCAAGTGAACCTCTCAGCTGACAAGAACCCCACAGCCAAAGCAGTGGGGGAGGGGGAAGGAAACAATCCTGAAATCACTATCCAGCCTTGGACCTGCTACCCACATTCTTGATCTTATGATAAGTGAGGGAAAATATCATGACGTGCCTTTGAACCACAAAAGATTTCCATGGAATTCAAGAAGTCCCTTTCGTAGTTCTAATTTTAGGCAAAACTGAGAAGAGAGGATACCGGTGGCAAAGAGAGGTGGGGGGGCAGCAGGGAGGAAGTGAACAAGGCCCCTATTCTGCTTGGAGGCACAGGTGCTGGTAACAGGACACCCCTCTCTGAAGTGAGAGGCGAGGTGGAGAATTCAAGGTGTGGTCTGCTGTTTTTTCACCCCCAGTCATATTATATAACCCCGAACACACTCTTTGCCTCGTACAAAGTTCTCTCTGCATCAGGCCCAATTCGGCTCCTGACATGCTGATTTTCAAGCAACAAGGGGGAGGAAAATATTTGGTTTTAGCATCTAACTTTTTTTTTTTTTAAAAAAAACCAAGTTAATTATTAGAAGAAGACAGACATCCACAGGGTGAGTGGCCCCCAAGTTTGGCCAGCAGAGTACCCTGGTCTTAGAAGTTCGCAAACATCACCAAATTCTATGCTGGTTCAGTTACTTAAGCAACTTGAAAAGTTAGATAGGAAACTTGGGGGAAAATGAGTTTTTGTTAATAGGGGAAGAACAATTTGGATAAGGAGGGTGAGAATGGCTGCACAGCTTGAAGAATGTAATAAGTGTCACTGAATTGTAAATGTAGAAACTGTTGAATTGGTATGTTTTGTTGTGTACGTTTTCAACAACAACAAAATTATTTTGTTTAAAAAAGCAATGGCACAAATCTGCTGTCTGCAGCATCTAGCCTGTCTCTGAGATTCCAGAACCCCCTTAATGCAGTCAGCATCATCCAAACATCAGAGGTCAACTGGCCTCCAGAACAGTCACTTCCAGGCTACTGTTCTCTGGACAAACCAGCCAGGGGCCCTTCTCTCCAGCCACATGAACACCTTGTCTCCCCTTTCCTTTGGGACCAGCTGACACCAAAGGACTTGAAACAAGGGGAGCGGTGATTTCCGTGGATGGGAGGAAAGGAAGCTACTAAGTGATTTTGCACACCACCATTCACTCACAGTGACCACCACCACAGCAGGGTAGAAGAAAAGGAAAAAACAACAAGGCTTCCTTCTCTTCAAGGAATCAGTAAGTTATTTAGCAGCTGCTGCTTGCTTTGCATGGCGCTAGATCCCATGGAAGAAAAATGAGGGTTTCTTCTGCACCCTACCCCCCAAAAAGGATAAAACACACACTCTGATAGCCGAGGCCTTAGCTGGATGAAGTATCATTGAAGAAAGAATTCTCTCTAGTTTTTAGGTGTCTTGAGACTCTTGGGTTTTAGAAAATGGATGGTGCTAGGCCTTGAAATTACTTCTTTTTTTTTTCTCCAAAAAGGAAATTTACTCCCTTCCTGTGCTGTTAATGGCACTGCCATTCATTTTAGAGAAGCAAATGCTACCAATAAAACCATCTTCCATGCACCTTTTTCACCCCAGTCCAACATCACGCCTAAAAAGCAAAACTAAAAATGTTATCAAGATGGCATTCCAAATGGGTTTCCAACATTTACGCTTGTCCCTCGAAGCAAACAGACAGGGGACCAAAGGCATTTTAAACCCATCATGGGAGTTTAGAGAAGAGAAAAAGAGGATAGACAAGTCATCGGAGAGTCAGCTGATGTCAGATATTAAAAACAACTTTTATTGCTGGCAGCTTCATACATATGCATACTGTACACTGCTTATCCCATATACCCAAGATTTATGAAATGCCCTTTTAAAATACCACTGCCATCTAATCCAGAAGACATCTTTTAAGAAGAAAACTCCATGAAAATATTCAGCAACAGTCTTTTGCATAAATCAGATGGGAATCAGATGCCCATCTCCCTTCTTTCTTCCCAGCTCCCCACTGCCCAAAAGTCTGAAAGTCTGCAGAGCCCAGGGTACGGCCCAGTCTTCTGCTTCTCGTTGCTCTTAAAATCTTTTACTGCCAAAACCAACTAACCTTTAAAACAAGTAACACCTTCCCATAGAATGTAGAGGAAACTCTACTAAACTCAAGGGGAAAGAATCTGGGGCCGCACGCTTTAGATTCGGTACTGAAAGGGCACTGAATAAGAAGTCTTTAGGAAGAACGGGTAGTGAAAGTTAATGGGTATGGGGTTTCTTCCAGGGGTGATAAAAATGTCCTAAAATTCGATTAGATAGTTGTGAACTGCAGGACTCTGCGACTGTACTAAAAACCACTTAACTGAGTACTCTAAATGGGTGAATTATATGTGAACTATCTCAATAAAGCTGTTACTAAAAAAAAAAGTCTCTATTTGTAACTGGAACCTTGCAGAGGGAAAAGACCACCACCTTAGTGCCCACAAATTCCCTGGCCAGCACGCCCTACAGGGCAGCCATGGGCTGGCAGGTGGCAAGGAGCATGACCCACCCTTTGTGCAGGGTTCCCTTTTGAAGGGCTTTGTATCCAAACTGGTTAAATGGGAAGAACCGGGCCGGGATTCTGGATAAGTAGAACAAAGAGAGAGAGAAAACTCCAGAAGTGAATACTCTCAGACTGTGGTGAGCAGATAGGTTGGAGTCCCTGGGTTCCTTGTTACTACTGAGGGCGTGGAAGCGGCCATTTATCTCCTTAAAAAACACAAGCTTTACCAACACATCTCAAATTCCTCCCCTGGTAATTAGAACATGCCATGTGTGCCTCAAACCAAATCTTGTCTGATTACACAGTGTGTAGAATTCAAGTGAACAATAAATAATACCCCAGAGTCCAAGGAGGGGGCATCAATCTTTGTCTCAAAAGGGCACTTCAATAATTCCATATGTACTGGGGGCAAAGGAATGAAAGGGGCTGCCTTTGAACCAGGAATAATCCGTCTAATTCCCACTGGCTGGATTAGAGGCATTCCTGGGGAAGCAGGGTCTCAGATGCAGATTATGCTACACGAATGTCAATTCCTGACAAAAGGCATGAGGCTTGTAGGAGGTTTTCAAAATGGACAAGACTAGGGTGGAGGCACCTTGGAAAAGTTCACCCTGGGTGAGGGGGAAGCGGCCGTGACAGCTGAGCATTCCTTCCCAAAGTCCATCTCCGAGGATTGCACCCCCTCCAAATCTTACACTTCATCAGACAAAAGCCCCTCCCGCAGCCCAGGCAGCGGCTGGAGAGGGGCCGTCCACACCCACCCTCCTACAGCTTTCCAAACCTGCCCACTCGTTCTGGAAGCCGAGCTTTTAATTAAACACCACCTCCCCGGATCTGTGGAGGCAAACTGGGGCTGGGCTAGAGCCAAAGAAAAGCTCCCTAAATACACATGAAAAAAACCTGCCCCCACCGCCCCCAATTCCCACCTCCAGCCAGCTTGCTGCTGGGTGGATTTCCTTTGGATGAGTAACGCAGGGCCCTGGTCTATCTCTATGCACCAGAAAATCCACATCGAGGATCAGGTTCTCCCCAGTCCCACCCTTCGCAGGAAAAAGCCAGGGTGTTGTTCCCCGCCCCCAACATACACACGCGAACGCACACAATCTCCACAATCCTTCCAAGAGAAAACCTGGAGTGTGTGTGTGTGGGAAGAGGGAGATACAATTCATCAGGGGGTCACCAACCCCCTAGTTCTGAGAGCCGCAGCTCAGGGAAGGAAGTGTCCCTGCTAGGCTGCCCTGGGAACTTCTGCTCCGCGCCCCCCGGGGAGGCCATGCACACCCTCACGAGCTTTGGAACAGCCTAATTAACTCCTGATTTGTTCAGACCCCCCCCCCCCCACAGGTAGACCTGGAAGCTAAGGAGGAAGAGGGAGACCTTCCTCCCAGTCTTCCAGGCCGGGGGTGGGGGGCTCCCTCCTGCGACGAGCAGAACCTCCCCTCTTAACCACCACCGCGCCAAACGCCCCACCTCGTCCCAGGGGGAGTCAGGTGTCCGCCTGGGCATCAAACCTCCGCGGGTCGCACTCAGTCCAGGGACAGACAATGGAAAACTTGGAGTCGGGGCCCTGAGCCTCCAGTGGGCTGAGCTGGTGCGGTCCCCTGGGACAATAAGCGGAGAGATGGCAGGAGACATCAGACGCCCCCAGGGAAGCCGCCCGCCAGGGGACCCGGCGGGGACCCGGCAGAGCCCGGAGCAGCGCCCAGGGTGAGCAGGTGACGCCGGGCCGGAGAGCTCCCGCAGGTGTCTGGCGAGCGGCCGTCCCGGGCGGGGGCGACGCACCGCGGCGAGGTCGGTGCGCCCGCCGCCGCCGCAGCCGCACCCCCGGCGTCCTACCTTCATGTCGCTGATGATGGTCTGGAAGAGGCCTCCTAGCGCGCTGCATTCCTTCTCAATCACAGCCTCCATTTTCCCGGCGCCGGCAGGGAGGACACTCACTCGGGCCGCCTGGACTGCGCGCGGGGCCGGGCTCGCTCACCCGGGCGGAATTTCACCCCGGAGCGACCCACCTCCGGCTGGCAGCCTTTCCTGCAGAGAGTACGGAGTTCACGAGACGGACAGTCCAATGCCAAAAACAGTAACAATAATGTAGAAACCAAGCTGCTCTGTAGACTGACTCTCCTACATGCAGCGCTCAGCTCCTGGCCTTACAAATGCCCGGAGAAGACTGCCAATCAGGCCACCACTGATGACCCCGACAGAAACGGCCAAGCCCATCTTGAGGCAGAGAAAACCGCCCGCTGACCCGGGGCCAGCGCCATTGAAAAACGCAAGATTTTAAAATTTAATTAATTTTTCTGGAATTTAAAAAAAACGCATAGCAGCAGAGCTGGCGTGCTCACAGCTCCCAGCTCTGTTGCTCCAGCGCGGCCGCCGCCTCCTTTTCACTCCAGAGCGCCGGCCCCGCGCGCGCGCTGGCTGCGCTCCCGGGGACGTTCTCAGGGGCGCACGCGCGCTCGCGGCCGTGCGT